GATATATTTCAAAAACGAAAAACAATTTTAAAAAACTCAGCTTGGACACATGATGTGTTGTACATACTGTGAAGCCTCATTATAATTAATTGGATACACATGGATAGTTCAGCACAACAACCGTACACAGAAATCAGCAACTTACTATGTCGGATGTTCATGACACTACATATGTACAGAATCATAGCTTTTATCGTTCATCCTGAAGAGTGCTAAATTAATGAATTCCAACAAGGAGACATAACTACGGAAATTAACAATAGTGAACCAAACACAGCTATTGCTCATTTAACAGATATTACAGGGATATATATTGCAAATACCTTCCAGTTTTTATTTCATGTTTTACAAGCGCTCAATGTGGCCACCACCGGCAGCATGCACAAATTTAAGCCGATATGAGGATTCCTCCCAAACGCGCCTCAGAATGTCTCAGGCCATCGTTTTGAATGTAGCTGTTAGTCGATCTTTCATGCCATCAATATTTCGGGACCTCTGTGCTTTCTTGTCGTATCTCCATTTATTATAACAGTGAAAACAGTTCTTAACAAAGAGTGAGTTGAAGAAGAAGTCACATTTTCACTGTTTAAAAAAAATGGAGATTACGACAAGAAAGCATCAAGGTCGCGATTTGCTCGAAGTGGTGGAACATAAACTTTGTCTTTAACGAAGGGGCCTACCCTCCACCAAAAAATTACACACAGTGGGGTCAGGGGATCTGAACTTTTAATCAACGTTTTCAGTACAGAAATGTGTCTCTATATGGATATAAAAGGTGTTGAGCCAAAAAACAAAAATTCGATTAAAAAATTGCCAATCAAACTGGTGGAAAAATGCCTGTTTCTTCAATCTTATTATTTTGACGAGCGCATGATTTCACCATAATGCCTCACATTTATTTTTTTAAATTATCTTCCACAAGCGGGAATCAAACTCATGTCTTTTGCATGCAATCTCAAAGAGACCCCCCCCCCCCCAGTTTGGTACAAGTTTTACGGCCCTCACACCTCAATAAGGTCATAATAATATGATAACAAAAATATATAACAAAAAATATAACAAAAAGGTTGTCTTCACATTGATTCACAGCACTGACGTCTTGGTTTTACTTTGCATCATGACATGAATGATTGAAGTATCTAAAAAATACATAGTGTATCTAGTAAAAAGAGCCATATATTACACCACAAATGCTAGTCTAGACATAAGAAGAGTAAGTATTTTAGACAACCTTCCTAACACATCTCTAACAAAGCTAAGAAGAAAAACGTGGGTGCCCATGTCAAATATACAGTAGACATTGCTCTAGCAATCTCCCACACGGTTCTATAATATACTATAACCATAACAAACATTGAGCTCTCACGGGAACTCCACAATCTCTTAATCTCTTCCAGTTTTTGTTTGCATTCATAGAATTCCGCATTCCTAAAGTGTAATATTAATAATAATAATAATAATAATAATAATAATAATAATAATAATAATATTAATAACAATAATAATAATAATAATAATAATAATAAAGATGATTATTATGATGATGATGATGATAATAATAATAATAATAATAATAATAAAGATGATTATGATGATGATGATGATGATATTAATAATAATAATAATAATAATAACAATAGATAGCACTCTTTACAATATATACTATTACCCCAGCAGAGACCTACCCCAGCAGAGACCTACCCCAGCAGAGACCTGATAGCATTCTGAAACAATCTCAACTTCCTGGGAAGCACACAGTGCAAGCTGCCATTTATAGGCTCTAAAACACTAACATAGGCTGACAAAAACTGTACTCACCCTATCGCAGTCTGTTTTCAAGAATAACGAGAGCATACTCTTGCATTGATATGAAAATGATGACAAATCAATAAACAAGGCCTACATATCGCGACCTCAGTGCTTTCTTGTCGCATCTCCATTTTTTTTTTAAACATTGAAAATGTGACTTCTTCTGAAGCCCTCTCTTACTTATGAACTGTTTTCACAGTTATTAAAAATGGAAATACGACAACAAAGCACTGAGGTCGCGATATATTGTCCAAAGATAAAATCAAGGTAGTCCATGTATCAAGTTATTTCGGGTGAAACATATGCCGGGCACGGTTATAGTTTTAGTTTTAGTGAAGAGAAGAAGCAGAATCACATCCACACAATAACCATCAATAAGTCGCTATCCTAGAACTACGAAGCTCTATCTGCTCAGAAGGTATCTAGCTTTGAGAGAGTTGACCTTTAAAAAAATGTGAAGCTTTTCACAAGATGTCAAACTGTCAAGCTTTTTCGAAAGCGATTCTTTGAATATATTGATCATGACTCTGAATAATCTTTTGATTTTGTTTGAGCGGACAGAATATTTGTTTTCTCATTTCATGGTTGTAGTAACTCAAAACAGCCACACATGTCAGACAGAACATTTGTTTTCTCATTTCATGGTTGTAGTAACTCAAAACAGCCACACATGTCAGACATAACATTTGTTTTCTCATTTCATGGTTGTAGTAACTCAAAACAGCCACACAGATCAGACAGAACATTTGTTTTCTCATTTCATGGTTGTAGTAACTCAAAACAGCCACACAGGTCAGACAGAACTTCCTAATTCTGAGGTATCAAGGTACTAGACTAAGAAAAAGTAAGAATTTTAGACAGGAACAACAGAGAGAAGGAAAAGCAGGACCTACCAGTGGCACCTTACGACCGCCTGTCTGGGTCTAAGCACAGTAAATATGAACAAAAATTTGACTCAATCTAGACTTGCAAGATTAAGTTTTAGCCTTCAGAAGGGGAGTTTTATTTTAAAAGACGGCATATGTGTATCCTGTTTTGGACGAAATTTCGAAATTGAGTTATCAATTCACCTGATAATTTAAAATACGGCGCACATTAACTGCCTTAGTCTTGCATCAGTATCTTAATAAATAAGGAAGGGAAAAGTGTTTGGAAAATATTCAAAGCGACTGGCTGTTGAGAGGCAAAGACGTGCTTTTGGGTTTTTTTTGGCTCTCCTGAACATTTTACGAAACTGGATATACTGTCTTTTAAAATAAGACTCCCAAGATTCTTAATCCCAAATTGTATGCCAATTAATGCAAGAAGAAAGACGAGAGCTAGATAGAGAGTCTTCAGGTTTTAGAAAAGAAGCCATCGATCAAGGGACGTGCTGATCCGCTATCAGCTGCAAGTTTCTCTCTCTGACTTTATCTGACGTCTCTTTTACGTCACTCACACAACATTTCGTCTGGCTGTGTCCTATTTCATGCAATAATGATACATTCTGCCATATTGTTACATTGTATACAATTCGCTGGTCACATAACAAACGTGTAGGAAAACAAAGAGCTTCGGGGAAGTGCATGTATGTATCTGGGAAAAAATTAGACAAAAAAACCCAGATGAGATGAAAGTACGATAGAATGAAGAAAAACATCTTCAAATTGTTTTACAGGCAATGAAATGAAATGATTCATGAGAAAATTTTATTACTGTAAAGTTTAGGCTATAAGCCATGACTTTTTTCCTCAGTTTTAGACCTTGCGGCTTTGAGGAAGTGCATGTATCTGTGAAATATTATGCAACCACACAGCTGAGATGAAAGTATGATAGAATTGAGCAAAAACACATCTTCAAATTGTTTTATAGGCAATCAAATGAAATGTTTCATGAGATAATTTTATTACTGTAAAGTTTAGGCTATAAGCCGCGGCTTTTTTCCTCATATCTAAACCTTGCGGCTTTGAGGAAGTGCATGTATCGTGAAAAAATTAGGCAACCACACAGATGAGATGAAAGTATGAAGAAAAAACATCTCCAACTCCAAATTGTTTTAATAAAGAAAATGAAATGTTTCACGAGATAATTTTATTACTGTAAAGTTTAGGCTATAAGCCACCACTTTTTTCCTCAGTCTTAAACCCTGCGGCTTAAAAACAATACAGTGACTAATCTGAGGATTTTCCCCGACAGTATGATCATAGGTGTTGAAAATGAGAAATTTTTCACCATCCTCGTAATCTGGAGGATGTTTCAGTGAGAGCAAAGTACATATCATTTATAATACATATAATTAAACACATGACATACAACACTGGTGAAAAGAAATAAGTACCGGTACATGGTGAATATTGCACGTGCATGTCGCAAGTAACAAAAACATATGAAAGACTAGTGTACGTTCCAAGGCCCCAAGATCTGGAATGCTTTACCAAGTATGTTGAGAGAAATCAAATCTTTGGATTCATTCAAATGTCAGCTGAAGTCGTTTCTGTTTTTAAATCAATAAGATGAATATTTGGAATAATTTTCTTTAGTCAGAACACAACGTTTCATGTTACTGTTGTATGTTGTACTGTATTGTAAAGCGCTCAGAGCCTGTGTACTTTATTCGGGGTTGAGCGCTATATAAATGTCATTTATTATTATTATTATTACATAAAGGAGTAACCTGTCCCCGTGGTAATATGCACCCCGCAAAATTTAGCAAAATTTGACCAGTTTTTGCACAATTTCTCATTATTTAATTCCTTTTATCATTCTTAGTTAAAATTAACAGAATCGCATAATTTCACATTTTTAGGCCCAGTTTGCATAATTTCGGAATTTTCCATGAATTAAACGACGACGGGGACAGTGTAACTCTCAAGGGAAAAGTTTGAGAATATGTGGGGATACGTTGAAAGACTTCTGCGATGTAGTTCAGAGAATTCAAGCTGAGGCTTACACTCCAAAATCTGCAATCTCATCATTACAGACCCGGTAGGCTAACCACTTAGCTACCGACGAGAGAAAGAGACAGTGAGAGAGAGAGAGAGAAAAAGAGGGAGAGAGAGAACAAGAGAGAGTAAGAGAGAGAAAGAGAGGGAGGGGGAGAGGGAGAGAGGAGAAAAGGAAAGAAAGAAAGAAAGAAAGAAAAAAAGGAAGAAATAGAAAGAAAGAAAGAAAAAAAGAAAGAAAGAAAGGAAGAAATAGAAAGAAAGAAAGAAAGGAAGGAAGAAAGAAAAGAAAAAAAAGAAAGAAAGAAAGAAAGAAAGAAAAAAGAAAAACGTGACCAGGTCACATGACAGACGTTTTAAGGGTCAGAGAACTGTTTCTTGCGACAATCGCGCTTGGTGCAAAATGGCAGCGTCACAGAACTCATGCTGTACAGCCCGCAACTCTCGCTGTGCGTGGCCACGCGACACAGATGCCGGTTCCACTTCCTACCGACGGGCCACACCAGGCCGCCACTACTCCCCGGGCACGTGGCCGTCGTGTACACCAGACGATTCTCCGACCCGCCCGACTTCTCTGTCCGGACCCTCTCCCCGACAGTGATGCGTTTGCTGAGGCCGTGGGGGTGGGACACAACCACCGTGGGCGTGAGGCTCTGCAGCTGGCTCTGCAGCCGGTGGAGCTCGTTCTGGCATGTCTTGATGGCCAGCTGCAGCCGGCGGCCCACGTGCCGGTCGTGCGTGACGCACACCAGGTGGCACCGGTCCGTGTCCACATCCACCAGATCCACCCGGTGACCTTGGAGGGTCACCATCGACTCCTCCCGCGAGTCCTCGTCGTCGTAGAAGAGATCGAAGGTCGCGTTGCGGCACTCTTGGTCGTCGTAGACCACATGGGCGGCCGTCACCACGGTGATCTGCCACCAGTTGCGAGACGGCTCCAGGGTGTCCACACACGCCCGACACTTGCAATCCGTATGTGTCACGTTCTCCACTGTGTGCACCCAGCCACTTCCTGTACGCAACACGTTTCTACCCCGCAGATTGGAGAAGGGATACGCCTGTGAGCTGCCTGCAGTCACACACGTGTCGGGGCGATTCAGGCTAACGAAATTCACTTTCACTTTCACTGTCAACACAGCCATGTTTCTTATGCACGTCAAAACATTTTTATTCCTGCAGCTGCATGGCAAGTGGTCAAAGGAAAATTCCTTGACAGGAATAAACTTTTCATGGTTCCCGTTTTTTCTGCAGGCAAGATGGTGCATCTCGAACGAGCTCTCGGGTGAGAAATCATTCAGAGCTAGAGGCAAAGGCATCATGCTTGCAATGATGCTGATCCTTACTTGAAGCGCAGGCCAACTTGACCACTGAGAAAAAAAAGAAACAGAAAAAAATGGGTACCCGGCCATAGACAGCGAAAGATCTTGTCAGTATGTTAGTGTTTTAGCGACTATAAATGGCTGTTTGCACTGTATGCTTCCCAGGAAGTTGAGGTTGTTTCAAAATGCTCTCAGGTCTGCTGGGGTAATAGTACAATTTGTGAAACGCATAGAGCTTGCTGTTGAGCGGGGATTTGCGCTATACAAATGCTATCGGACTCGCAACCGTAAGGTCGTGGGTTCGAATCCCGTCAAGGGTCCGATGTTGTGTCCTTGGGAAAGGCACTTTACACGAATTTTCCTCACTTCACCCAGGTGGGAATGGGTACCCGGCTACAGACAGCGAAAGATCTTGTCAGTTTGTTGGTGTTTGAGCGCTTAATCGGCTGCTCGCACTGTATGCTTCCCGGGAAGCTGAGAATGTTTCGGAGTGTTCTATGGTCTGCTGGGGTAATAATATAGTGTAAAGCGCATAGAGCCTGCTGCTGAGCGGGGATATGCGCTATACAAATGCTATCTATTATTATTATTATTATTAACTATTATTATTATTCGTTAAAATTCTATTGTTATTACAGTACACGATTTACAACCCTGTCGACATGATTTAGATCATTTAGGGGGCCGGCTACTTCTACCCTGCCTGTCATCTCCATCATTTAGGGGGCCGGCTACTTCTACCCTGCCTGTCATCTCCATCATTTAGGGGGCCAGCTACTTCTACCCTGCCTGTCATCTCCATCATTTAGGGGGCCGGCTACTTCTACCCTGCCTGTCATCTCCATCATTTAGGGGGCCGGCTACTTCTACCCTGCCTGTCATCTCCATCCTTTAGGGGGCCGGCTACTTCTACCCTGCCTGTCATCTCCATCAGAGAGGGATATAAAGTTGAAGCAAACAGATGGAGAAACTCAATTTTTTTTAAAACCAACAAAAAAACCCTACCCGCAAATCAAAACTCATATGTGTCACAACTTGGTGGAATGAGGCGCTCTTCAATTTTTGGGCATACAGAGTAACTGGTATTGGTATCATCGTAAAGCTTGTTTATTTTTCTTGCTTTTGGTGAAAAAAAAAATCTATCTTTCTTGTTAAGAAGTTCAGATATCCGTTGTCCGAGGTAAAATTAATGAGAAAATGGCTTCCAAAATCTGTTGACTTCCAAGCTTGAGTGTTCATGGAAATTGCAAATTTACTTATTTTTGTGTCTTTCATCAAATTTTGGGTGAAAGTTACTCAGAAATGTGTTCTTAAATGGACAGAAAAGATTTTGAGCTAAAAATAAGAAATTCAACAAAAATTGCCCAATAGACGAAAAGATGTCAATTTCTTCAATTTCAATATTTTGACGAGAGCCTGATTCCACCATGCTGCTGCAATAGATACGAGAGTATCTTCTGCATGTGGCAGCGAAGGGCCTAACTGCTACACCAAAGATGCCGATAGTCTGTCAGGTTACATGAAACAAAACTCGTAAAAAAAACCAAAAAACCCAAAGGACTCAGTAAAATCAGCAAAAGCCAACAGTCATTCCCAGGTTCAAGGCAAACTCCTCCGATGTCAAATGGAATCTAATAATAAATATATCCACGTAAGTTTACAAACACTCTCCCACCTCATTGAATGTACAAAAAGATGGACAGAAAATTGGAGAAATCTAAAGAGAGGGGGATGGGGTGGAAGCCAGGGGAGAAAGGAGGAGGAGGGGGGGGGAGAGAGAGAGAGAGAGAGAGAGAGAGAGAGAGAGAGAGAGAGAGAGAGAGAGAGAGAGAGAGAGAGAGAGAGAGAGAGAGAGAGAAAGAGAGAGAGAGAGGGGGGGGGGAGAAAGAAAGAAAGAGTAAAAAGAGAAAAAAAATCTTATCATGAAAAGACAGACAGACCGACAGACAGACAGAGAGACAGACAGAGAGACAGACAGACAGACAGACAGACAGACAGACAAATTTCCCTCACCTGGTATAAGTATTCCCTAGAAGTTTCCTTTTTCATATCACTGCTGGTCCCCTCTTCCTCTGAAAGAAAAAAAAAATTCAATAAAAAAAAAAAAGTTTTAGTAAGAGTTTTACTGCTCTTGCAACACAATATAAGGTCATATAAAGGTGCTAAATATCAGGGTTGTTACTACACAGCCTCAGCCTGTTCATGTGTGTTACACACATACATAGAGGCAAACAATACGTACACTGGCAACGTCTCCTTCTCGCCCACAATTGACACACATAATGTGTCCTCATGTCCCTTTCTTTTGTTTCGCTATTTTGAAGCTTATAAAATTTGATGATTCACGTTTCTTGAGGGTTATTAGAGAAGATTAGATGACACAACCTTCAAAATTTTTTTTTAATTTGGAAAAGGAAGCATTTCGGCTGGTCAGTGCTGGTTTTCTTAAAAAGAAAAAAAATTTTTTAATCAAGATTTGGATTCTTTTTTTCTTTAGACTGCTTCAACTGCTTGCCGTTGCTTTTAGAAGAACCATGTTCAATTTAACTCATTGAAGTTGAAGACACGCTATATTGGATCATTTTTTTAAAGAGACATAACTTCGTTATTCATGCAGATTTTTATATCTTTTGTCTAGTAGAAGCTGACCTTGCGCTGTTGAAGCTAGAGAGGTGAGCAGAGTAAGTCTGATTCCCTGTAAAGATTTCTCTGTTGACACCCACCCCTTGGCACTCATATGACCTTATGCAGTTGCGAGCACCGTAAAACCCTCTACTATAATATAAATATGTCGTTGTCTAAAACTTTGTTGTTGTTGTCTAAAACTTTAAAGAGGCAGGCAAAGAAAAACAAACACACAAACAAAACAAAAACAAACAAACATGCATACAATGGAATATATATGTACATTCATGTCTCTGATGTGATTTGTGCATGATGATTCAGAATGTGCAGCAACATTGTCTTTGGTCAGACATATGTGTCCGCTGCGTCATCAAGGAGTTAAGCAGACTCCTCAATGTGCATCAGTTCTTACCATGACTCGAGGTTTTTCCTTGAATATCATTACCCATTTTGAGGGTGGCTAAAAGTCGGTTCCTCATCCCAAATGCCTGTGGAGAAACAAAACCAAGAAAAGTTACTTATAATGTTGACACACAGCTTTCTACCTCAAATTTCCCCTCTCAGGTAGACTCAGGGTGAATTTCAAGTATTTCAGCCCAAAAAATCAGGTAGTACAAAGACACAGAAGTAAAAATAAAGATGAACATTTTCCGGGTAAAAGTTTTTACGCTTGCATGAAGGTTGCTAGTAGTAGTGATAGTAATATTATTATAGACCTAATTATATTAATATATTGTAAACTTTTGCATTTGTTTCTGTGTTCGTCTGTATGTGTGTGTGTGTATGTGTGTGTGCGTGTGTGTGTGAGTGTGTATGTGAGTGCGTGTGTGTGTATGTGAGTGTGTGTGTGTGTGTGTGAGTGCATGTGTGTACAGTATGTGTGTGAGAGTGTGTGTGTGTGTGTGTGTGTGTGTGTGTGTGTGTGTGTGTGTGTGTGTGGGTGTGCATTTTTGTGACATGAGAAAGGGAATCGAAATATCGGGTTTGGTTGGGGGGGTTTTTGGTTTCTTTTCAACCTTATTAAATATAGATTGTTATTCAAGGTACCGGTTCCTACCTACCTACCTATCAATCAGTATTGAATGTGGATTTCACGCCAGAGTGACCCCCCAACCCTCCCCTTTTGTGGGTAGCTGTGTGATTTTCGGGAAAGTAGTCGAGTACGGTAGGCTACCTATTTGACATTGAAGAAAACAAGGGCAGGCCGAGGCGTGAGCCACGGACTGTGGAAAACCATGTGTGAGTAGCGGTCGGGGCGCAGAGCAGAGAGTTGCGACGAGTCAGTGCAAGTCGGATCGCTACATGATGAGGTGGGCGTGCATAGTTAAACCACATGCGTGTATAGTTAAACTACACCTTTTTTGTCCCCTCAGCTCTCTGTGTGCTCTTGGGCAATGCTGTCTTGCTATAGGCCTATCGATGTCAACATTCAATGGGCTAAGATTGTTTTGTTTTTGTAAAGTGTTTTACGGCGCTCGCAACTGCATAAGTTCATATGAGCGCGCAGGACACACCTTATATTTTCAGTTGGTAGGAAATTTTGAATTTTTTGCCCGGGTGGCGGCCAAAGCCTACTCTTATCTATTTTAGACCACCAAGGAATCTTTAACGTGCGCAACTTGCACACGGGCTGTGTACTATCTGTCCCCGAAGTTTTATGCAAGAAAAATTCTGAAATTATGCAAACTGAGCCCAAAAATGTGAAATTATGCAATTCTGTTAATTTCAACAAAGAATGATAAAGGGAAATAATCAGAAATTATGCAAAAAATGATCTAATTGTGCTAAATTATGTGGGGTGCATAAAACCACGGGGACAGACCTATCAATCAGTTATTGAACATGGATTTCAGGCCAGAGTGACCCCCCACCCCCTCCCCTTTTTTGTCCCCTCAGCTCTCTGTGTGCTCTTGGGCAATGCGGTCTTGCTATAGGCCTAACCATGTCAACATTCAATGGGCTAAGATTGTGAGAGCACACTAGAATTAAGTTTCCAGCGTATTAACAGTGAGTGATTTCTTGCATGCCTACTGTGTACTATCTTTTTTTCTGTGTTTTTTTTGGTAAGTGTTTTACGGCGCTCGCAACTGCATAAGGTCATATGAGCGCGCGGGACACACCTTATATTTTCATTTGGTAGGAAAATTTGAATTTTGCCCGGGTAGCGGCCGAAGCCTACTCTTATCGATTTTAGACCACCAAGGGATCTTTAACGTGCGCAACTTGCATACGGGCTGTGTCCTATCTGTCCCCGAAGTTTTATGCAAGAAAAATTCTGAAATTATATGCAAACTGAGCCCAAAAATGTGAAATTACGCGATTCTGTTAATTTCAACAAAGAATGATAAAGGGAAAATAATCAGAAATTATGCAAAAAATGATCAAATTATGCTAAACTATGCGGGGTGCATAAAACCACGGGGACAGTTCTATGCGTATGGGTGGAGATCAGATAAGACAAACAATGAAGCAAGCACCGTTGTAATTGCATAGAATCTGTGAGTAGGGGTAGTTTTAAAGCGGAAACTAGATCTAAAGCTTCGGTTCCGTTTGGTTCGGTTTGGTAGGCGGGGCTAGCCAAATTAAGGGCGCAAAGCGACCATCGTGGCACAAACCAATCGCCCAACTAGCAGCTTCAAAAACATTTCAGGCCGTGAATCGAGCAATTGGTTGGCGATCAATTTGTCAATCCCCCGATGGGCTCCGGGTATTCAATGCAGCAATGTATCATGTAGAATACTTATTTAAAATTCTCTTTCGTTCTTTATCCTACGTGAAACTTAAGTTCACTGTCAAGAGAATGGAACCACCACATCAACAAGTAGAACTTTCGCATCTTGTTGTGGATGGAAAGCAAAAGAGATAGATTCTATATTCTAATCATGAATGGTTTATCATATAAAGGTTGCCCATTCCACCTTAAAGTCAGATCAGTAAATTTGCTCAACATAAAAACTAAAGTACAAAAATTATGTACATGTATAAAAGACACATAGGTGAGTCCATTTTCCTGGTTTCAAATGTGTAATTGCCACTAGACCTATTATTATTAAGAAATATCTAGATCTAGGTCTACTATAGATCTAGTTTACGGGACGATACAAGGGCCAAAATTGTAGCTCGCTGAATCATTTCTATAAATTTCCTGCCAACAATAAGCAGATACAAACCTAGAGAGAATCCGACATATATGCTTGTTTAGTGCAGTTCCAGTTGCCTTGGTTTGTTTATCACTAAGTGTAGAATTCTGTGATTCATCATCACCAAAACAGATCAGATCTGCCCTACCCATTACCCATAACGCCCTCTTTTGAAAAGTAAATCCGCTTTGGGAATTCCCGTTGTGATAAAACCGAAAGCAGGAAGGTGTCTCGCCTTCACTCTCAACTGACCCAACCTCTTCTTCGCCATGCTATGACCACAGAAATATACAAGTCGTTTTTTTGTATTCCCGCGTTTACTTTTCGCAGTTCGACGCTGGAAGCTTGCCTTACAGTCGCACCCACTTCTTTTGTAATGACTAAATTTAACACTGCTATGAATATGAATAACAGCATCCCCTTTTTTGTGGTAAGCTACTGAGGTAGATCTAGATTTAGAAAGTGAAACTATAAAATAACTTCACAATTTAAAATTATGACTCACTCTCATGTCCTCTGTGGGTGAGAGCAATTATTGTGAAACGCCTAACGATCACACCACAAACGTTGGTTAAATTTATATACAGAGACAGAGCTAAGATTCCTATGAAATGAATTAACAAGCATCCCCCATTGGGCCCGTGCCGTCTGACAAATTGAGAGTGGGAGGCTCAACAATGATCAAACTGGCCTTCACAGGAGTTCAAAGGTCCTGTATAGTGCCATTGTATTTTTATATATATTATGTAGCTTCTATTCAACTGAAGACACCCATATCGACGCAATAACGTCAAAAATCATCATGTGGTGTTTGTGCAAGGAATATGAGCAAGTCAGAAAAAATAAAAAGAGGCGTCAACTATACAATTATTGCTCATCCAACAAAAAAACCCAACCCTTTTCTTTAAATGGATAGCCAGCATTTGACTGCAAACACCGATTTTTATCAAACTTTCAATAGCAACCTTGAATTAATTTGCCTTTTAAATAGCCTACTTTTATTATATAATAAGTACCAGTCAAGGGTTCTGGATGGAGTACAGTGGAACTCTGACTCAACGAGGTCGTCGGGCCTGGCCTTCAAGTTCAAGTTCGTTGAATCCGAGTGTTCGTTCATATGGCAAATATGAGGTTTTAAGTAGATATAATTACAAGCACCGAGCAGTGGTTTGGTTTCAAATGAGAGACATTGTCGTTTCTTTTAGTTTTAGTTTAGTATGGGGTTTTACGGCGCTCGCTTCTTTGATAACACAAAGAAATGCCGGAAAATTCCTGGAAAATACACTGAACTCCACCAAACACACACTGAACAAAAGGGTCGATCCGTTCAAATGCACGCCTGTATTTACGTACGAGTTGGAGGATGTCGTCAGGGAAGTGGGGAAAAAATCAACTCATCTGAAATTCAACTTCAACTTAACCATTGGGATCTGTAGAAAAGAAGAGGTGCTGGAATCTTCAACAACAAAAAAAGATCACCCTAACCAAAGATCGACTCAAGCGAGTTCGACACAACTGGCGTCCACTGTTGTACCGTACTGTATATTTCGAAGGTATCACTGGGAACTTGATTTTTTTTTTCTCCTACTTCGAGATTACCCACTAGAGTAGTGGTGTCAACGTGCTCTCGAAACTTTGAAAAGAAAAATTTGCATCCAGCAAACTCTCTATTCGAAAAAAAAAATTCTGTACAGGTGTCTGATAGATGTAACATACCGGCAAGGAACTCGTCAAAGTCGAAGTACTTTGATTTAATTTGCAGTTTTACAGAACGTGCAACACAAAAAGGTCGCTTGTAAGTGCCGAGGACATGTACTGAGCACATGCACAATTCCTTTTTTTTCTTGGTACATGTTTTACGCCGCTTGCAGCTGCATAAGGTCATATGAGCGCACAGGACACATTTAACATTTTCAGTATTTAGGAAAATTTGAATTTTTCCGGGTTGGTGGCCAAAGCCTACTCTTATCGATTTTGTACCACCAAGGGATCCTTAACTTGCCCAACTTCCACACAGGACCTCGGAGAGCTTTCACCTTTATCCGAGAGGGCTAGGTGCAGATATTACCTACCATTAGATGAGGAGTGTGGCCGCAAGACAGCAGTAAGAAGCAGCCAAGGAGTTTTGTTTGTTTTAGTAGAAGTTTTACAGCGCTCACAACTGCATAAGGTCATATGAGTGCCAGAAGATTAGAGGTGTTACATGAGAGTAACAAACATAAAAAAGGAGGGGAGATAAGGACGATAGATGTTTGATAGGAAGGCCAAGGAGTCAAGGAGTAGAAGTAAAAAGGCAGCAGAAAGAGTCAGGAGCCCAGAGGGGGACGCGCGCACATGTACGAAAACCCTTGTGAACCCACCAACCACCGAGAGTAAAAAAGCTTGTTGTAATGAGAAGCACACCGACACAACAATGGTCATTCAGTGCTGTGAAAAAAGCAGGACAGACAGACACAACAGAGGGAAAGTAAAGGAGTAGGACCTATTAGTCAGTGGAGCCCACCAACCGCCTGCGAAAGAAGGAGCAAACCACAAGAGAACAGTCTAACAGTACATCAGGCAACCAGTGCCGGTACTAATACATCCCAACAATTCTATAATCACACAAACGAGCAAATCACATAAAACAAAAAGAACCAAACACATACATGTACAACAAAACGAACCAATCACATAAAACAAAAAGAAGTCGAAGTCCAGTGAACTCTGATATTCTGATTTTTTTTTTTTAAAATTCCTGTAGTATCACTATCAAAAAACACATGTTATCCGTAATTACACAAACAGCGAGAAAATGGGGGGGGGGAAATTACAAGTATTTATAATAAAATATAATATATAATTATATATATAATATATATATATATATATATAGAATGTACGTGAGTGTCAGTGTGTGTGTATATGAAATATATAACAAGTCCATGGAAAACAGTTCTGGGAGTCGCACACAGACACACACTGCCTGGTAAGAGAGGCAAAGAACAATATTATGGTACTCTTTATAGTAAAGACAAAGCTTTGCTGATGACAGGTTTCAACTCTAGAGAGAGAGAGAGAGGGATAATTATTTAAATAGCAAACAATATCAATTTTCAACTAATAAAATGATTACAAAATAGCTCGAGGCAGAACCACAAGCTTGTCGACAAATTGACTGGCTAAGTCCGAGACTCCGCCATACGTACACCATTACATGAGAAAGTGACGCGTGCCAGAAGTCTTGCACTCAGCAGTCAAAATGCGCTGTTCGGTTATTGATTGAAAAAAAATTCAATATGACAACCAATATTTTCAATTTTCTTCTAATCTAACGCCAATAACAATAAGTGATGTCTCGCAAATAAGCATTTGCGTCTGTGCATTCATTACAAGCCAATGTGCGTATGCGAATAGCCAGACAGAACTGTCAGCCATGGAGTCAATGGAGATGGAACACAGCAATCAAGAGACTTTTGCTCTTTTTCTCTTTCAAGGGGGGGGGAAAAAAAGAAAAAAGAAACCAGTCTGCAGGCCAGCATTACGCGCTCACTCGGGCTGGACACATTCTTCGAGCCAGCACCTCGTTGACTCAGAACTAGTTTGTCCAAAGTGCCTCTTTACATAAGTATTTTGGCCAATATAGTTCTGAGGCGATGACCTTAGGCTAACAAAATGCACCGAGGAGGCTTGCCGGTGGGGCCAGCAGACGGATGGTGTGGTCAACCACAGCCCGGAAACACCACTGGCGTGACTCCCGTGACGAGATACAGAGAGAGAGATAGATAGACATAGAGAGAGAGATAAAGAAAAAAAGAGTACAGCCGCCAGTAGTGTGTCCTGGCCGTGGCTTCCCGCGCCACTTTCAACAATGATGGTCGTCTTTGTACACACACAATATCTATCAGCAACAACACTCCCCGGGGCTGGGACCAACCCCGACGGACCGGGGCCGTTACACACAAACACGCGTGCGAGACCGCGTTAGTGGGCGGCGGGCCTAGCAGCGCTCGCTGTGAGCAAACTTCGAGGTGACAGTGTCCTGACAGCAACCCCTACCTACCCACTACGACCTTCCTTCCTTCCTATCTTGCCCCTGATCTCCTCCTACCACTCGTCACTAGCTCGCCACTAGTTCAGGCTGTGCACCACAAAACCTGACCACTTGTCCACCCCGACACCTACTTTATCTTACAACAGCCCAGCCTGGGGACAGAACATGCTTTTCACAGACTTTCTTCACCCGATTCCAAAGAAAAACAAATATACATCCCCATCCAACCGAACATTTTTACAGTTCTCCCCCGTCAAACCCCATTTTTTCTTTTAAAAATCGGTATGACCCTGAATGCGCGTACAATGATCATTTGACGGGCCAGCACTCCCCTCTCCCCTTGAGGCAGTGCTACCTCCCACTCTTCAACACCACCGCCACCCACCCACCCCTCTGTACAGTCACAAGTCAATCTATCACAATCAAGTTTGCTCACAGGTGTAACATGTGTTGTTCTCATCATATTCTGCTTTTTTTTTTTAAAAACACAAAAAACAACTATACCAATAACAAGGGGGGGAATATTTTCAAAAAAATAAACTTTTTCAAATATACAATTAATATGTGTTATTTGATGTGATAATTACTGAAAACAAAGAGAGAAAAAAATGGTTGTATAGTGTATATCATATGAAACCCACACAAGTATGTACATAGAAGCAAGCAAAAACATTGGAAATGCATTCTAAATTTAGAAATAGGTGAAGAAAAGCAGCCAGATAATGACACAAAGGAGCTGAAACCGTTAAGCCAAATCAAAACTAAACAACAACGAAAAAAATTGATAAAATTAAAACCCCCCCGCAAAATGACGAGCCCTTAGGGGGAAATGAATGGAGCCCAGCTTACACTAACGCTAACACAAGAGTCCAGGCCGCGCGACCTTTTCACCGTCGTGACCTGTCCCTTCGCCCACTAATAAGTTTGTTTTAGATGAAGTTTTACGGCGCTCGAAAACTGCAAAAGGCCTCCTAACAAGTTTGTTTTAGTAGGACTTTTACGGCACTCACAACAGCATAAGGCCCACTAACAAGGTACTACAGGAAGGATGTGTTATGTTGACCAACTGATACCACCCGCCTAATGGGCTACCTAAAGGACTGAGTGCTTTGTTTTAGTAGAGGTTTTTCGACGCTC